ATTGTACCAAGCACATTTGTACATATGTTGCCATCATGATTTCTAAAACATTTTCTTTCTACCTGAGCCCTTGGTATCATCTCCTCTTTTCCACCCTCCCTCGCCCACCATCCCACCCTTGTGAACCCTTGATAATATAGAAATTATTTTTATTTTCATATTTTACACCTTCCACTGTCTCTCTTCACCCACGTTTCTGTTGTTCGTCCCCCTGAGAGGGGGTGGTGGCAGAGTTTTTTGAACTGCCCTAGAGGGTTTCTGAGGTTGTGAATATTTATGGAGGTAAATTATATTTTTTCTGCAAAATAGCTGATGGCTTCAACTGCCAAGTTTTCCATGAGCAGACTCTGCAATGCTCACCCACTGCACCTCCAGGGCTCCTGAATGAAATACTACGATAAAATGCTATTAGGAACCTATGAACCAGCATCAACCTGCTTATTGTTCATTACAAGAGGAACAAATTCATTTAGACTTGAATCTGAGTTGTCCCCAAGACAACTTCCAACAACAATGGGAATTGTATTGATTATTCAGAAGAGCAATTCCTTTCTAGTGGATTATTTAAAATTGATGAGGATGAAGAAACGGCACTCTAAATTCACAGACTTCAGCCAAGCTTCACAAAAATAAACTATATATTTGATCAGTTGATCTTTCTCCTAAAAGATAGCTAACTTCTATAGGCACAACATCATCTCCAGGAAAATTAGATATAGAGATTGTCTTTGGAATTATTCCTATATTTTAGACTTGAAAAAGTATTTTACCTCCTGATCTATTCCATTACTCTCTCTCTCTTAAATGCAATATAATTTCTTTTAAGATACTGTATTCTAGAAATATATTATGCATTCAATCCATTTTGTTGAGATTTATTTTCATATTTGTTGATATTAGGTTGTGTGCTAACAACCTAATATCATGATATATGATGATAACCTAATATATCTATTTTATGAATGCATTATTTTTCTTTTTCAGATTCCAAGAAAACAAAGAAAGCTCTGGAAGGTATTGGAAATGTTTCTTTTTACTTCTTTTATTTGATGAAACCCATAATAGCATTCTTTCTCAAAGGTTACCATAAGAGGAAAAACCTCCATATGGGATAGCACACAGAGAGAGGGGGTATAATCCTTTCTAATTTAAAACTATATGAGGAATATTTGGCAGTAATAAGTAGATGCTTATAATTATTTATCACAATTTTTGAAGGACATATTTACAAGAAATATTAGCAAGAACATGTGCAGTGTTGAAAATCAAGACTTTCTTTTATTAGAAAACATATAATCAATTACTTGTGGATCCATCAGTATTAATTAAGCAATGAATTGTCTCCGGAAATTTGAATAGTGTAATAACTCTTTCAGAATAAGGGCTATCTTTAGTATTTGCCTTCTGTATTTGTTCATAAGTGTTTATATGTAGACCCAAAAGATCCACAGTGTTTTTTGTTGGTTTATTTTGTTTTTATTACAACCAAATATTTATCATTGCAATATTAATTTGAATATGATATGATTTTTCTCTGGTAAAATGTTAAGTAATATAATATTATGGTAATTCATTGTCAAAAGTTTCTTTTAATTGAATTATAGAAACATAATAATCTGCAATATCTAAGAGCCACATTCACTGTGAAATTTCAGGAGGTAGAAATAGGAATCTTAGAAACATTACAGTCCTGGTCAGTAAGGTTGGGAGACATAATTTATCTTTAATGTTTTTATTTTTCTGTTTATATTTCTTTTCACAGAACCACCCAAAGGAAAAAGTAAGGAAATGAATGAAAATTATACTTGTGCACCATTTTCCCACACTTTTCCACTAGTATTGAACTGCTGGTATATTTTGTTTTTGCAATTATGAATCTTCCTTCTCTACATTTTCGGCATCCGACTATGTATTGTTGGCTGTCAGAATGGAAGAATAAATACCTGGGAGGCCACAGGGAGTGAATGCAGTCTCTGGGCTGAACAAACTGGCAGTCCTTCGATTCCTTTGTGAGAATGCTCGCACTTGCTTAAAGTACTATCTGCAGAGTTCTAATCAAACTGAAAGATGCAACCACACTTCATTAACTAAAATGTTAATATAGCTATTTACATTTGTTTATATATGTTTCCTTTCTGTAGTCGGGTTGGATCTCAGCCCTCAGAAAAGAGAGGAGAACACAGTTCTCTTCTTGGCGGGTAATATAACCTCCCCCCACATCCTTCTGAAAACCCACAAATGTTTTGCATACCAACACTACATGTGACATTTGGCCCATAGTTTGTGATTTTTCCCCAGAGACACTATACATTCTGTGCAGTAGTATTTCCTGGGATCTAAAATCTTAGCCATCATTTGCTGTTGTTTTTATAAATAATAGTAAAGCTGTTTAGTAACAATTTGGTAAAGCCTTAACGTTGTATATATAAATAAGATACTTTTAACCAAAACAAAAAATCAAAAATTCTATACTATTCAATTAACCGTTAAAGATCAGCACATTTTCATGACTATAGAGTTATTTCACTTCTTCGCGATTGTTTTAAAAAATCAGTATTTAAGTAGGTACGAAGTTTTTCATATTTATGTATATAATCGCTTTGCGAAAGACCAGGGATTGAGACAGTCCCTGTCATAAAAATGCCCTGGAATGCCCTGTGGAGAGAATCATGAAATTATACCACAGATCTGCCAGGGGGAGCAATCTATCTACGGCGAAGTCTGAGCTCGTTCAAGCCTGGATTTATGTGCATGCGCAGCTGCTGATGAGTACTGGAACCCGGAGGCAGAACCCACTTTATCAAACTTCTGTACCAACAGGAAAATGGAGGAGACCTAACAAATAGTACTAAATAATAAATACAACCATAAGGCCCTCATTTCATTGCGGGCTATTGGATTGAAAAGTTCTTGTAGATACACTGCGGTCCTTGGCAATCGTTAGCGCACTGGTACATTTAATAAGTACACATACCTCCCCGGACATTCGTCTCCCACAGCTTCCCTGGTGGAACTATTCTTTTGCAACTTCTACAAATGCCCCACATTTACAACTATCTCCAAAGAACAAGCAAAAGGGAAAAATATAGAAAATTTCATTGTGGACATGATTTGGCTGGCTATACACAACTAAAACCAGCCCAATCATGTCTACAAATTAAATTTTCTTTGGCTGGCGCTATGCAATTTAAAAGGAGCCCTGGCGGTACATTCCAGTAAGTGTTGGTTCCCCGGTTACCAGAAGGCCCCCATATCACACCTGCCTGCCTTTGGATTGATCTGGAATCACGGTGACCCTATGGCTCAGGGTAGAACTGCCAGTGTGGGTTTCTAAGATTGCAACTTTTTACGGGAGTAGAAAGTCCCCACAGAGTGGCTGCTGAATTTGAACTGCACACCTTGGGGTCAGCAGCCTGATGTGCGACCACGATTCCACCAGAGTTTCTCCTTGGTTCAAACTCACCAGCCTCATCCACTATGTGCTCCCATCACGATTTACAGCCTGGAAAATTCTGAGCGTGTCACTGAGCTTCAAAGTCAATGCCCTGACAGAGGGTGAGCACGGGCTGGAAGGAACCTGGTCGGGGACAGGGTAGGAGCTGGGAATCCCTTCGGCTGTCAGAGATCTATGGCCTAGGAAGCCCACGAGGCACTCTACTCTTTCCTACGGGTCTGCCGTACATCCGCACAGATTGGAAGCAGTGGGTTTGGCGTTTTTAGGTGTATACAATCCAAAGGTAAATGAGTATATATTTAGGAAGGATAATTTCATAATTACATCCTGAACTATCTCGTATAATAAACACTCTCGACAGCCTTATTTTGCATATTGTTCCCAATTTACACAGGGTTTTGTATTGTTTATAGAATGAATTTCTGTGGCATCGATTTCTGTTTCCAATCATTTTATTTGACTGTTCATCGCTTCACAAATTCCTTAGGGCTTTTCTCATAATTGTTGTCTCAATGAGCAATGTATTTAGGCATTCCATATTTTCCATACAACTTTCTATAATGTTCTTAGTGTGTTTAATTCGATCTATCATTTGGATACGTTGCTTGCTTTTATCGGGGTTGCTTGTTATATTACTTCATATAAAATGCCTGTCTCTTAGCGATTCATCAAATGACCATCAAAGTTTCTATGACACTCTGTGTAATCAAAATACAGTTCTTACACACTTTCAGCATAGATGTTTTCTAATTAAAATCTGTTACACAAAATTATAATATGAATCCCCTTTTACTAATAAAATCAAACAAGTATGCAAAGTTTAATAAACCAAAGCAGTTCATATAAAATAATGCTAATTAAAATATAAATGTCAGCTAATATTCAGAGCATAATTATTTTTCACATACAATATTGGGAAAAAAAGTCTTATAGGTCTGAAAAAGAAATAGCATCCCATAAGAATATATTTCATTAATATTTAAAAAACTGTATTTTGCTTACTCCTAAAAATTCTAAGTTCACATTAGTACCTTAAATCTGGCTCAACACAGTTCTTATTTTACTTAGATAAATATCTCCTCAATGTAAGCTTTCACCGTAGTCATAAATGTTTTGAATTATTTTGAAGTAATTGCAGTAAATACTCTTTGATTTCATTTTTTTGCAGGTCAAATTTACTTTGTAATGATCTAATATGAGATAAATTTCATTTTCTTGTGGTTAAATCTCTCTCTATGTATATATACACACATACATACATATGTGTGTGTGCATATAGTTTATTACCTAAGAATTGATTTGAATTCCTCTAATGCCAGGCCTTTAACAATTTGGTGCTGTTCTTCAAGAAACCCCTCAGAGGAAGTGGAACCAAAGATTTATTTAAAATACTCCTATCTGATCCTCGTTCTTCCATGGCACTTACTACTACTTATTAAATTCAACACAAGCACACACATTTGTCCGAAAACAATTTTCTTGTGATAAACAAAATTTTAATAAATATAAAGCAATAATAATAACAAAAATAATGTGTTTCAGAACAGGAAAAGAAAGACAAACAGGTGGAACCAGGTAAGTTTTGAATTGCTATGATCCTATCCTCTTAGTTTCACAGTAGTATTTAATTTGCAATGAAAGCAAGAAGAGCCCACTGCCTTGGAGTCTTTTCTGACCCTGGGATCTTACAGCCCAGCCTCTAACTGCCCCACACTGTTGGGAAGGCCACGATCTTTATGTAAGCAAATCGCCTTCTCTTTGTCTGGGGAGCAGCTGAGAGGTTCTAACTGCTTGGTTTGGATGCTAGCCGCCGACCACTGCACCGAAGGCTTCTCTTTTGACTTGTAGTAAAACATGGAATTGCATATCAATGGAAACTGAATGCTGAATTATTTTCTTCTCTTGTTTGTGTACAGCAAAATCACCGAAGAAGGAACATTCAGGTGAGTAAGATTAGTGTCGTTGGGCTCTTTCTCCCTGATATCCAACATTCATTAATGCTGCAGCCTGTTGGGGATGAGGACAAACCCCAAATCCAAATATACTTTATAGGGATACACTTATTAAGTTTTAAACAGGACAAAGAAAAGTCATCCAGATAAGGGGGTGGTGGTGGCAGGAGGCTATAATTGTACCCAAGGATTTGCAGAAACTCAGTCACTTAAATAGAATTTGGAGGACAAAAGAAACCATACAAAGTCATGATCAATGCATCACACTAGCAGGTGGGATTACAGAGGCTGGACAGAGACTGTCATTGGAATAGACACTATTGTGGATTAGAAAAGTTTATGAGATTGCTTCAGGCTATCTCTTGTGCATGTGACCCTAGTACGATAATTTCCATCAAGGGCACACCTAAACAATTTCCTGAGGGCAAGGTTGTCTTTTCCTTGTCTAAGGGAGGGATGGCTATTTACTTGCAAGCATACGCTGCATGAGGGTAATACTTTTTACACGGCTAGGCACGTTTCACATTGCTAGAAACCCTACCAGACAGAGTAGAACTGCCTTGGTGAGTTTCTGAGGCTACAACTCTTTACCCCTGTAGACAGCTTCAACCTTCTCCCATGGACCGGCTGGTGCTCTTGAACTGTTGGTGATTTTAGCTGCCTAACATGTAGTCCACTGTGACCCCTAGCCTTTGAGATAGAGTTGACTCAATGGCTGTGTGTTGAATCACAAGTCAGAAAGAACACAATGGAAATTGAATTTATGTGAAGCTTGAAGGTGAATTTAGCACACCACCTATAAACCAAAACTTCCCTTAAACAAAGTAATAATAAGTTCTACTGCACAACTGTGCAGTGTTTCAGAAGCAGTTTTAGAGTTTAAGGTAAACAAAAACAAGAACAATGCACCTTGTATTGCTTTGCTTTTAAAGCACTCAGATCCAGCAAATATTCCCCTTTATTTCCCCTTTATTTATGTGACTCAAGGTGCCCCAGCCATGTGGTGATTATGCGTTGGGCTGTGATCTAAAAGGTCAGCAGTTCTAAACCACCAACACCTTAGAGAAAGACAAGGCATTCTACACCCACTAATAGTTTCACTCTTGGAATCACAGGGCAGTTCTACCCTGTCCTATAGGGTTGCTATAAATTGGCATCGACTCTATGGCAGTGGGTTTGGCTTTTTGTTGGGGTGGGGGTTGTATTCATGTTACTCAAGCAACATTCTTGACTACTGCAAGGAGCTGCAAGGAGAACAGGTGTAGAACTTGATATATTTACATAGTAATGGAAAAATTGAAGTGAAAATCAGATCTGCAAAACTAAAAATGTTATGTGTTTAGATACCAAATTTAAAATCTTTTTCTAACATTTAACCTATTCAATTTATTCTTTCTTTAAAAAAAATAATTTTATTGGGGGCTCATACAACTCTTATCACAATCCATACATACGTCAATTGTGTAAAGCACATTTGTACATTCATTACCCTCATCATTCTCAAAACATTTGCTCTCCACTTAAGCCCCTGCATCAGCTCCTCATTTTCCCCTCCCTCCTCACTCAAGAACCCTTGATAATTTATAAATTATTATTTTGTCATATCTTATACTGTCCGACTTACACTGTCTCCCTTCACCCACTTTTCTATTGCCTGTTCCCCAGGGAGGAGGTTATATGTAGATCCCTGTAATCAGTTCCCCCTTTCTACCCCACCCTCCCTTCACCCTCCCT